AAGTGCTGCAGAGAGAGGGGGGAGGGGTGGGCCCACAAGTGCTGCAGAGAGAGGGGGGGAGGGGCGGGCGGGCGGGCAAGGGCTCCTGTGCAGGCTCTGGGGAGGGTGCCCACGGTTACCTTCATGATCTTGATGAACTTCAAGAGCAGCCGTTCCCTGTCTTGGGCCTTTTCCTGTAACATGATGATTGACCGAACCCTGCACGGACCAAGAGGAGAAAGAGACGGCTGAGCTGACCCGACTCTCTTCAGCCCTCCGGTGGCAATGGGACGGGGGCACCTGTACCAGCTGGCCAGGAGCCCGTGCCTAGGGAGTGCCCGGGGCTCACGAGGCACCAGGTGTACCCCAGTCTCTGCTCTGAAGGAGCTCATGGCACCCCAGGGATAGGTAAGAGGCTACAGAGAGATCCAGCGGCTGGGACCTCTGACTGTGCGGATGGACGCTCTCCCGGTGAGCGCTGACCGTGAGCACCACGGCGGCTGGAAACGCTCAGTGAGTGGCCTCAGGATTAGCTCGGAGACGAGTGGGCGTGTGGGCTAAGAGGCCACCTTGCTGGCCATGAGGGAGGGCACCTCTCAGAAACTTAGCAGCAACCAAAGCCAAAGGCCAGCCTTGCACGAGGACCTCACGGACCCCGTGTGCTTTCACAGGGGCCACCGCCCATCACCCAGAGGACGTGCCCCTCTTCTGACCCATTAAAGGGCACCGGCACCGAGTCCACCTTGAGCACCGGGGCTCTGAAGGGGCTCCACCCACATCTCCTCCTAGGCAGGCCCCAGGGGGTGTGTCTGGAGCCCCCAGCGCCCAGCAAGGGGCGGGGCTGGAGGCCATGCTCAGGGCTGCACGGCTTGTCTGCCCTGGAAACCACCTCGTCCTCTGCTGGGCTGCTACGCTGAGCATGTGCTGCTGACGAGTGAAATGCTTCCTGTGGTGCAGAGAGAAGCAGGGCAAGTGGGAGAGGACCCAATTCTCCAAAGAGCAGTCCTTAGAGCACTTAAAAAACAGACGTTTCCCTGGTGGTGGGGATGGATTGTGTGTGTGTCCGGGGGTCAGTATGAGACTGCCTGGCCACCACACCCAACCATCCTCTACTGAGGCCGAGAGGCTGTGGACACCCTTGAGTCGCGTCTTTAAGATGTCAACAATTCTGCTCTATGTTACAACATAAATGCACCTTTGGGCTTCACTTTGCTTTAAGAATTGAAGGCTAAATACAGCCACTCCTTTGCTTTACTTCTCTTTCAGGCAGAGTCAGTGTGAGGATCAGTCCTGAGGCCACCTGGCAGTGGGGAGACTGGCAACGACCAGTGCAGGGTGGCAAGTTTAACACCCGCTCCCCTGCCACCATCGATAGCAGACATTACTAATAAATCCTGGTTGAGTCCTCCTCAACCCGCCCCCCACCCCCGCCCCAGGTGGCCCCTTCCAACGTGCAAGACACGCCCTGTCCTGTCCCTGCCCTTGTCCTGTCTCTGGTTCACAATGAATGCCCACAGGGCCCCAGAAGGAGCTGGGAGGAATGAAAGGGCACCCCTTTGTCCTTGCCATGGGTGCTCTCTGAGAAGGACACACAGGCACCCATCCAGAAGTGCTTTGCACCGAGGCCCCTTCTTACCAGTAGGACATGTTGTTGAAGTGCTCCGTGAACTGGGTCAAGTTGGGGCTCTTCTCCTCGTTCTGCTCTTTTGCCCAAAGCAAAACCTCTGGAATCTGAAAAAGCAGGTAGACCGGATAGAAGCTGGGCCCGCTGGCTCTGCTGTGATGCAGTGGCTTCTCTCACTTGGGGACAAGCAGCTGCACTCACCAGGGCTGGGCACAGCCCTCCCCCAGCCCCACGCGTGGCCATACCTCTATCTTATAAAAGAGCTCGGCATCCAGCAGTGTCAGCTGCTCAGCTATCTCATGGCTGTGAAAGTCATGCAAGGTCCCGGGCCTGGAAGACAGAGGCACGAGACGAGTGGTCAGTGGACGGGACGGTGGGGGCTGGCTGGGGGCTGCACTTCAGGCCTCAGAGCTGAAGGAACACGACTTCCTTCACAGCAGCACGGAGGCCACGCAGCGGGTCGGGGGCGGGTCAGGACCGGACCGCACTCGTCTCCCTGGGACCACGGGGCCTGCCTTCCTCCCTGCCTCTGCCCGGCAGGCTCGGTGGCTCCACTCGCGCGCCCGCGAGCTCAGCTGCCTGAGAACGCACAGCCCGACCCCACTTCAGGGCCCAGTGGGAACAAAGATGGTGCCATGTGAATGGAGCTGAGACACCAACAAAGAGGTGATAAACCAACAAACCTCCATGGCCTCGGGAGAGGGCCAGTGGAACCTCTACACAGGTGGAACCTATACACAGGTTCTCAGGAACGGTCAGGATGGCACAGGGGGCGGCAAGAATTAAGTTGCCACGTTAGCTCCGGGAAGAGAATTAAGTGCTGACCACAGCCTGAAAGGCATT